TCCCTACCTTCCCATTCTGGAACCACTTGTGGTACCTGTATCCTCTTTTCCAGGTCAGAACTAAAAAACAGTTCCAAAGAGCATCTCTTTTTTTTTTTTTCCTTTTTATTTTCAAGCTCAATGTACATTAAACCTGGCACCTAACTCCCAGGTAGCCAACCTAGTGCAGCTACCTTCAGATTTTCTAGGCTAGGATGAAAGCGTGTATCAGTAGGCAGGATGGCAGCCAGCATGGCTGAGCTCAGGTCTCCATGGGAAGGGCTAATCCAAAGGAAAAGTAAAATACAAAGGTTTATCTGAAACAGGATTTCCTACCAAGGAAGCGTTTGATTGCCAGTCCAAGTAATCAAATCCTCCGAGAAAAATCACTCTAGCAAATCAGTCACTTCAGTGTCTGCTGTCTGAATCAACAGGTGTCTCCAGTGCTTATTTGCCATAGCTTCAAGGCAGGCATCTTCCCTCAGTACCACCATGAGTCATACTGGAGAAGACGGAGCTAGCATTTGCCAGCATGTAGGAAGGACACAGATTCCAGCAAACTCAGAAATGAAGAACTTAGTATCAGACAAACACCATAAACCCAGTGACAGCTCTATCTATTCAAAGAGAGAGTGTACTTTTTTTTGAGTTTATTGTATACATTATAATTTGGGAACCTAGAGCCTAAGAATTGACACACACTAAGATAATCCTCCTTTGAATGCTAAATTTGCTTTAACAAGCGGGACAAAAAAAACACCCTCCAGCAAACGGAAATCTTTCCAAATGGTGAGCCTATTGTATTTCTGAAAATAGGTGTAATTCTTAGGAGCAGGGATCAACAGCTGCTGTCTTCAACAAGCGATGCAGCTCTCAAGAACGAGAGCACTGAAACACTAGAAAGGAGAAGAATATACCAGGAGAGGGAAAAGACAAAATCTTACACCTCCTATTTCTGAAGGGAAACAAGACAGAAATCACATTCCCCCTTGTGCGGCTGTAAGAGACTGCATGGGCGAGGCTAGCCACAGGCACCGTGGATCCCCCGCAAGTGCCATTTAGGAAACAGGCCTTCTCCCCCAGACCCTATTAAACAGCCCATCTCCAAACCTCTGTTCCCACCCCGAAGCCTGTCCTGCTGCCCCCGCCACCCAGGGCTGGCTGGTGGGAGCTGCCAGCCCCTGCAGCGCACAGAGCCGGTGCTGCCGCACGCCGACATCCCAATCCCAGGCGAAGGAAGTTGAAGTCAGAGACAAAAATCAATAGCGACAAATGTTTCTCACGCGAGCTACAGCCTATGAAACCTGGAAACCACTCTCAGCCTTGGAGATGAGTCAGATAGGCTAAGCCT